AAAACGAATAGAAGCAGATAGAACTAGAACTAGAATTAATATTTATATCTAAACTTCAACTTCTATTTCATTCCATCTTAGACATTGGAGATAACTGAAGCAGTTTCCTGAAAGCAGAAATACGAAAAGAACGAGATTTGGTGTTCGTGCTCGAGTAGCATAAATTACAGAAGTTCTACTATATCCTAAGGAAGTTGTCACCCAAACCAATATAGTGTGGTAACTAGACATGTGGCTAATTTTAATATTGGAGATATATACAATTTAAATTTACCAGCTTAAGTTCAATATTTACTTGTTTCTTAGAATTTTCACTCAATGTGCTTATTTCTTTATAATTTGATTAAAGGTAAATAATGTTTGGTGTTAAATTTCTATGAGCTAGTCAAAATTTCTGTTTTGAAATTAAGATTTTATTGCAAAATAACGCCGTTCTATTACAATAGTCATAGAAAATAAAACTATAAAACCTACCATAACTGCCTCAGTATATGAATAGGAAAATTATTCCACAAGGAAGCACAAAGTGGAGACCAATCTGTCTACTGAACACCTTAAGTAAGCTCTACGAGATTCTCCTAAAGGAGCGAGTCGAACAAGCCATCAAACAGGGAGGAGGGCTATCAGATAAACAATATTTGTTCCGCACAGGGTTATCTACCGTGGACGCGGTGAATAGGGTCTTAGGCATTGTAAAAGATTCAAGGACTATAGCGCTCGATATAAAAAACGCTTTCAATGCAATTAGGGATGTTATGATGGGCGAACTTTAGGAGAAAGGGACACCTAAATATCTGCTCAATATACTGGGAGAGTACTTGTCATCTATAAAGATCGAGTTCGACAAAGGAAAGTTAATGGAGGTTAGGACAGGAGTTCCACAGGATCTGTGTTAGGTCCCACTCTCTTAACCTCCTCCTCCTATGATGGAATACTGAATTGCGAATGACTTTTGTCTAGTAGTGCTCGCAAACGTAGAGGAAAAGCTCATGGAAACCGTGAAAGAGGGCTTTAGGGTGGTAGCACGCTAAACTAGGACACATTAACCGGCAAAGGAGAGAACCGAGGTAGTCACAAAGAAAGGTCCCCGAAAGAAAGAAAACATACGGTTAAATCTGGGACAAACCAACCAAGATGGCATGCAGGATGCAGAGAAGTTATGGCGAAACTGGGAGAGAGGCTTGAGGAGAACAACCTAATAACACAGATGTGCAAAACCGAAGAAAACTACACCCTAATTCTGAAAAATAATAATTGTCTCGATAAAAAATTTACATCGGCTACATTGGACTCATCAGGGCTGGTATATCTAAGGGGGTCGCGACATAGACCCAGTAAATGGATGAGGGGTGACTAAGGCTAGGGGGGAAATAGTAGTCAGCTTAAGTTGGCAACACTTTTCTGATGTTCGTTTGGCGAAATCCACGGTTATCGTTTGTCCTGCTGTAATAGAAAATTTAGACAGATCTACTTTTAACGTGCATCGAGCATAATAATGTCAATATGGTACAAGTGGAATGAACCACTGTTTTCCTCGTAGGCGAATGTCGAATTAAAACTAAAAACATTTTGTACATGCGTTTGTGCTGTGGTAAATAAGTATTCATGTGAAAATTATCTCTGAAACTGCATTGTGACTGCACTTATCTCAAAACTGAATACTGTAAATCCAGGATTTAAATCTTCCATAGTGTTACTTGGGATAAATTGTAAAAAAGGTGTTGGACAAAACGTTTACAACCGAAAATTGCATGGAAAACATCATAGAAGAAGGAATTTTACCTTTATGACATTCTCTTTCAACATTTTTAAGTGACTAAGTTTGTTGTTACCACAGTCAAACAATTCAAATTAAAAAAAAAGGAACTAAGTTCTAATAAGAATACATAAGTTGAATATGAAAATGTAATTACTTGATTTAAATGTGATTTAATTAAAAGCTAAATAGATGTTTCATATAAACAAAGTGCTGTAAAATGTTGATAAATGCAAAACTATTATTAAAAATCTGATGTGTCCAACACATGACTTTCCTATCTAGTTATTATAGGCTTTTTCCGGTTATTTTGTACAACCTATTGCATCACCCTATAAATGTTTAGAGGATAAACTAAATATATACATTTTCCAAATACATCTACCTCGAAACATTTTTCTATAGATATTCATTGAAAACGAAAATACTGAAAAATTTTAATTAGGCACTTTTCCTACAATTTTTCCATTACGGTCCATTTTAGAAAAATCATGTATGAACAAAAATTATAGAGATCGATATCGCAAACAACTTTTAGTTCTTAAACATCAGAATTTTGCACATTCTGTCAAATTTCTCGAATACGGACCATTTCAGGAAAATTTGACATAAAGCAAAAATTATAGGTAATAATATTAAAAGTTACTTTTATTTGAACAATTTTCTTCTCCAAATATAAATAACACAGATATATTCCATAAAATATAAAAATGACCACTTATAAAGTACCCCCCCGGATGTTCCGAATCTGCCCAAAATCTAATCAGTTCATTGGACACCGAAATAAAGCTTAAATTTAAAATTTGGTGTTTTTATTTATATCGGTTCATCAGTTATGGTGGATACAGACACACACACAGACATCATCGCGAAAATAGTCAAAACGGATTCAGGGGACCTCAAAACGTAAAAATCGGCCAAAAAGCCGAGGTCGAAAAAAATCATGATTCCTATACTTTCCTTATCTGTATACAGATAAAGAAATTAGTTATCATCAATAGGATATTTTGTAGTAGCTGGTCTCTTTAAATAATAAACTTGAAAGACTGAATAAGTAGTCACTTTTACATTAGAAGTAAAAACAAAAAAAATGTGTGGTTGAGACTAATTTATGTATTTAATAAAAACATATATTTAACATGTTTTATTTAAATAAAAAATAGGTGTTATTTGAAATGTTTTATTTTAGTTTAATAATGTTTATAAATTGTGGGTACATTTGATCTAAATCTTGCTTAATACTATAAAATGCATATGCATTTCTATATAGTTAGTATTGGAGTAGAAGCACAAAAAAGTTTTGATAAAAAATATATTCTTTAAATACATTATTCACTAGATATGCTTATTTAGGCAATTTCCTATTCGAAGCCATACATGTTTCCTATTATAGTTTTCATACGTTTATAATTCTGGAGATACTGAAATATTTTGCTTGACTACTAAACTTTGGTTGTTCTTGTTGCTGTTAACACACTATTGTACTGAAATATTAAAAAAGCTAGACAAAGGTTTGTCCAACTCTTTTGTCAGCTTTGTTAATCTATGCTACTGTTATTCTGCATGCAGACATTTTTTACTGGAGATTTTCTCTAAGAACTGTATTCAGTTTCAAATTTCGGCCAGTTTTAGGAAAGTACCTCTGTTGTAAAGGTATTTCAAAGCCATCCTCTGTAAGATGTAGCCAACAAATACATGCTAAAATGTATAGAAAACAAATCGCAAGATATTACACAAAATTATTTAAATTAAATAAAAACATACAAATGAAGTGAATAATACCTACCAACAATGTAAAAAGACCTAAAATAAATAGACTTAGGGGACTGGAGCTCTAAAAAAGGGAGCCATAATTTGTTATGCATCCTCATCTATAAGAAAATTGTCTTCATCTCTTTAATTACCTTTTAAAATAAACCAAACCAAAACAGCACAAAATTGAAAGTGATCTACTTTTCACGACGTATTCTATGTACATGTGAGATTATTAATAATTTATTAAATTGAAATATTTTATCCTAAAAAAAATGGGCATTTTATAATGAAAATGTCATTTAAAAAAAGACATTGATTTTTTTTCTTATATTGGCAAGCCTGGCGACTACAGCTTGCCAGATCAATGAACGACTACTATTTCGAAAAAAATGGCGTCCAAAATGGACTTCTATGTCGCGACCCCCTTAGGTGTACCAGCCCTGGGACTCATATGGTTTGTCAAGTATCAACAACTAGACTAACTGAAATCTCTGTTGGTATTCGAACAAAGGAAAAATCGATTGACCCAGGCATTTTTATTTTAGTAAAAATGGTTTAAAAGTACCGGGTGATTCTTGGATTTGATATGTTTCGTATCAAATATTTTGGGTTTGCGAAATTAAATGAAATAATAAAAGGAATTTAAAAATAGTTTTATTATACCACATCTTAAACAGCACCTATAGAGGAAAAGTACAACTTTTTTTCCTTAAATGGGGCGTTCCTACCTCATGATTTCAGTAACGGTTTAAAAAGGTACTTTATGCAACCAGTCGCATAAAAGCTGCGTAAATTGCGTTTTAGTTTTCAAATAATTGTACACCGTCATTAAAACTGCCCAGAAATGTTGAGGGTAAAATTTTAACGTACTCCTTTAAGGATAACGGGTAAAAATATTGTTTTTTTAAATTTCCTGCGGGTAATGTCAAAAATCAGATCGGCAACACTGCACATGTCCCTTATTTTTATTGTTAATATTGAAAAAAAAAAAACGTCGTAGGGCAATCAAATTCAACTATTTTCTGACATATTTGATTGGAAGTACCTACAAAAGAATGATGGTGAATCATTTTTTAAACAAACACAATTTTATAAAAAATAAAGTCAAAATTGGAAAAAATCTTGTATGTAATACTTTACGAAATGCCGTTTTGTGTCGTTAAATATTTACTCGTTACGCAAAATAAGGCATTTCGTAACTGGTTACAAAAATAGCTATTATAATGTCAGAATGTCAGAAATGTTAACATTTCATTGCTGGTTGTGATAAAAAAATAAATATACAAACATGAAATATTCAGGCTCCACCTCTTATAACTCATATCTATTGACAGTATTGACACACTTCCTTTCAGCTTAGCTTGTCTTATTTTTATAACCTCCATAAAACCCATTGCATCCTCCGATAAACACAAGTATTAAATTTCAATTTACCTTTATGTTTAAAATAACCGACTGTTAATAAAATTTTATATTCTCCTTGTTTCAGACGTTCGATTGGCCTGTTGCGAGACCAGTTGAAGAAGATGAATTACTTGTCATTGAATTATTTTCCAGGAACCGGCTGTTCGCAGATAAATTGATTGGATCATATCGTTTAGTTCTTCAACGGGTGATAAAAGATGGGAAATTATTAATTTCTGACAGCCTTCTCGATGGCAATAACAAAACTTTACCGGTAAGTGTAGAAAATTGCTTTCCGCTACTGACAGGAAAATAATTATTTTCTAATTTATATTATATACTTCGGAGAAAAAAATGCTTGTCACGTATTTACTTTGCGAACCAATCGTGCATTTTACTGCTGAACTAATTACACTTATTAGATGTTCGTAAAACTGTGGCCTATAATATTAGAAAAATTACTCAAGTTTGGTTTAATTAGATTTTTTATTGTTACTTAGTATAACAATAATTTTTGTTACAACATAATTTTTAACTCACATTAGGTATTCCAAACAAAAGAAGAGTGGGAAGAGTTGGTATATCTAAGAGGTTGCGATATCTATTAATGTGAAATCATGAATAAAATCAAAATATTATTAAAAAAAAACTGCTTACGCCGTTTTCATAAATTGACAGTCTTGGCGACTACTATTTCAAATAAAAATAGCGACCAAGTTGCAAGTATACGTCGCAACCCCCTTAGATCGTGGGAATGCCTAATTAGGCGCCAAGAACTGACACTTAATTTGATTTTAATTGTTTGAAATGCCAAGGATGTTGATAAAAATTAAAGCTATTGGCATAAATACCAAAATAAAATACACCCACTACTAAATAACACAAACACATATGAAATTATACAGAGCGATCCAACAAATACATACCTACAAAATAAAAACAATAAATTTATCACTAATTGGGAAAAAATACATCCTAGCTAATATCGCGAAATCACTTGGAGTGTACAAAACACGGCTCCGTGACAAAACAGCGCAGGACAAAATGGCTCAGGACAAAATAGCGCAGACAAAATAGCGCAATGACAAAATAGCGCAGGACAAAATAGCGCAGGACAAAATACCGCAAGGACAAAATAGCGCAAAGACAAAACAGCGCAGGACAAAATAGTGCAAGAACAAAATAGCGCAAGGACACAACATTCTAGTATTCTATTTAAAATATAAAAAACCTAATTGATTTCCCTAACCTGTGCCTGTGCAACATGCGATGGCACCAGGCCGCACAGGTTAAGTAAATTGGTTATGTTTTTGTTTTATTTTAATTAGATAATTTAGTTTCCTTGGATATAGGTACTTGACTTTTATTTTTTAAAATAGCAATCATTTAAATATGGAATTTATTCAATCACAAAAGAGGCATCGCTACAGGTTAGATAAAGTCAATGTTGATGAATCGAAATCATGGAGATGCATTAAGGTATGGTGTAAAGGACGTGTAAAGACAAAGAGATTCCAAAAATTATAACTATGCATAACCATGCACCTGATGTAGAGGATAATAATGCCCATACTGTAGTTAATAAAATTAGATAAAAAGCAAAACAAACACGAGTTAAGACTAGAGAAGTAATTCAAGAAGCAACTCAAGGATTGTATTTGCTTGTATCATCTTCACTGCCGAAATATACGTCTCTACAATAAAATATTCATCGCCAAAGGAATAATAGTATATTATTTAACGGGCAGTTATGATGGCCATTAAAGCAAGTTGAATTCTATACTTTATCTACGACTATAACGATAAATACTAAAAATACATTTTCTGTAAACGAGTTAACGTTTTTATTGCTACACCAATCTTGAAAATTTTTGTTTACACCATTATATTTGTTTTTTTATTTTTCTGGTAATTAATTCTGTATTGCATTATTAGCTACTTCTCTTATTTCTGGAGGTGTACGTAATAACTCATCTTCACTATCTAAATTCATTTTTTTAGCACTATTTTTTGAAATTGATTAGAAAACTTCAAAATTATCTTGATAAAATATCAAATGACTTACTCCCCTCAATAGTAATAATTGACTTTTCCGCCTACTAAGAGGCGTTGACAATTTAATAATTTTAAAATCTTTTAAATATTCATTCCTTTCCAGGTATTAAAAAATCTTTCTAACATTTTACACCAATAGAACGAATTTATCGGCTTTAAAATTTCCAACTATTTACTGCGCACACTATTTACATACCAAATTATCATAGGAGCTCAGCGTGAGTTATAATAACTCACTATTAAAACTCACGCTATTTGTTTATTGATACTATTAATTGCTCAAAAGCAGTTGAATAATTAATATATAAATTAATAGGAGTAGATAAATGTATATTACATTACACTAATAACAGATCATTACGCGAATTAATAATTCCAGAAGATCTACGAGTATAAGTTACAACTAGAGGAAAACATATGCTACTATGGGATTCTGGTGTTAAAGACCCTAAGAGAATGATAATTTTTGGGACAAAAATACAAAAATTGGTTTGCTGACGGTACATTCAAAGTTGATCCAGAATTGTTTACCCAAGTATTTACTTTACATGCGTTGATCGACAACAGAGCAATTCCTTTAATTTACGCTTTTTTATTCAATAAATCCGAAGACACTTATGTAAGATTTTTTCGAACAATCAAAGAGATTGAACCAAATTTAACATCATTTATAATGATGCTCGATTTTGAAGAAGCAATATGTAATGCAGCCGCTTCTGTTTTTTCTAATTTGAAGATTATTCGTTGTTTGTTTCATTTGGGACAAAGCTTGTGGAGAAAAACTCGTAAATTGCATTTACGAAAACTTATAGAGAAAACGAACAATTTCGTATAAATGCTAAAATAATATTAGCGTTATATTTTGTTCCTTCAAGAGAATTGGCTTCTATTTTGGACGTTCTCTCTGAAATATGTGTGCCAGATTTACGACCTCTTTTGACTTATTGGGAAAAGTATTATGTTGTTCGGGTTAAGTTAGAAACGCGCGAAGTTCCTCTTTTTCCAATTACCCACTGTGGGATCGAGTTTTAATGGATCTTCCGAGAACGAATAATTGAGTAGAAGCATGGTATAATGCATTTAAGAAAACTTTAGACTGTCATCGTCCATCAATGTTTAAATTAGTCATATTAAAAGAGAAATTGATTATTACGAAATTATCATGCAACGTTTCAATAACGGCGAGCGGAGACCAGAAGCTTCTAAAAAGGAATATATTACACTAAAAGCACTGATAAAGACTTGGGGCACTGTATCATCGCTGGATAATTTAAGAAATATTGCTCCTTTACTTAGTATTTTGATTTTTATGGTTTGTTTGACTAAATGTATGCTTGCGTACCGTTATAATTTGTTATTAGACATCTTGTAAAATTTTTATTTAAATTACTATATTTCATTTGATATAAAAAAGATAACAAAATTATAAAAAATCTGACTTATTACTAACTTAAACTTCAGAATTGTATGCGAATATTGTAAATTAAGATAGTGGTAGCAATTATAGTTGGGCACTATTTTTCTTCTTGCTTTATTTTGTCCTTGCGCTATTTTGTCCTGTGCTATTTTGTCTTTGCGCTATTTTGTCCTTGCGCTGTTTTGTCCTTGCGCTATTTCGTCCTGTACTATTTTGTCCTGTGCTATTTCGTCCTGCGCTATTTTGTCTGCGCTATTTTGTCCTGTGCCATTTTGTCCTGCGCTGTTTTGTCATAGAGCCACAACACACACTCACCCTCCATCTATGGTTTGCCTTAACTACACAAGACAAACAAACCCTTATGCCTAATAGTATCATGTATACAATTTCCATACCAAGTAATTTCAAAATTCTTAACAAACATATTAAAAAAAGTTGCAGGAAAAAGTCAAAACCATATTAAAGACTCATGGCAATTCAAAGAAAAAATTTCTAATATACGAGGGTATTTTTTAAGTTAAAAATGTTTTGATAATCCGTCGTTGCAGCGCTGCGATCGGCATTCCGCGCATGCGCGCTGTGTACCTGCATCTGTTGACAAGGCTTGGATGCAATTACGGCAACATTTGCCCTTGATTACGTGTGTTAGAAAGCATTTAAAATGGCACTGCCGATCGAGAGTTCCGCCGACTGTGAAGTTCGTTCTGTTATTCGTTTTCTGAATGCAAAAGGCAATAAAGCGAAAAACTTAAGGACAGTCATCAGATAACGAATTAATCGCAAAACAGCTGTTTTTCCTCACTGTTTGGTCAACTTTCTGCACCAAATTGTCAGTAATAACTCCTTTCCTCATCATGCACATTTGTGCGGCCATCTTTAAATGCTCATAATGTTTTGTCCGTAAAATACACAGACCTCACAATGCATATTCATCGCTTTTAAGCTTTTTGTACTCAGAAAACGAATAACACAGAACGAACTTTAGAGTCGGCGTGACTGTCGATCAGCGGTACTATTTTAAATGCTTGCAAACTCTCGTAATCACGGGCGATTGTAGCCTTAATAGAGTCCTAGCCTTGCCAATAGATACAGGTACACAACGCGCATGCGCAGCATGCCGACCGCAGCGCTGCAACGACGAATTATCAAAACGGTTCTAACTTAAAAAATACCCCTCGTACATGTACATACCAACCAATATACTCATATCACTAGATGTTACTTCCTTATATACAAATGTACTAATAGATTACAATAAAAAAATGATTAAAAAACAATGGCTAAAAATAACAAAATATATAGATATACCTCTCAATGAATATTTAATAGGTTTGACCGATACATGCACGTCTATACAGTATGGTTCAAATGAAAGGAATAAATTCATTATAATGGAAGTAGCTGGTTTTTCGAAAAAATGCTCGGACAGGTCAATTTTATTTACTGAAAGCGCAATTTTTTAAATAGAATTCAATTTTCCCCCACTTCCCATTTTTGGGCAGTGATGTCAATGACAATTTTTTTAAATGGTAACCTAATTTTTTTTTTCTTTGTTTTGATAGATCTTGCAATTTCCTACTCGGAAACATAATATTTGAAATATCTTACATAACAATTTTTTTTGAATAGAAGACATTTAAAGATCAGACACATAAATTTTATTTTATTTTGAGAACACAATAAATGAATAAAAGATAATTATTTGTAATTAAATGCTTAATCTAACAGAATAATAATAAAAATAATAATAAAAAAAAGAATTTGTGAAATTGTCATTAAATTCTTTTTATTATTATTATTATAATTTTTTTAGATTAAGCACTTAATTACAAATAATTATCTTTTATTCATTTATTGTGTTTCAAAATAACATAAAATTTATGTATCTGATATTTAAATGACTTTTTTTCAAAAAAAATTGTTATGTCAGATATTTCAAATATTATGTTTCCGAGTAGGAAATTGCAAGATCTATCAAAATCAAGAAAAAAAAAATTGGGGTTGCTATTTAAAAAAATTTTCAATGACGTCACTGCCCAAAAATGGGAAGTGGGGGAAAATTGAATTTTATTTAAAAAATTGCGCTTTAAGTAAACAAAATTGACCTGTCCGAGCATTTTTTCGAAAAACCAACTACTTCCATTATAATGAATTTATTCCTTTCATTTGAACCATACTGTATATTTTACATTTAATAACCAATACTATAAACAAATTGAAGCCTTAGCTATGGGAGCACCAATATCTAGCATCATTCCCAACTGGTCATGTAAGACTTAGAACAAACACAATTACAACAAATATAAAACCTATTTTTTATTGTAGATACGTCGACTACTGCATTTAACTCTTAGGTCCACTTAACACTGTGCTTAATTTGAATTCAAATTAAGTTTTGAATTTAATACTAAATTTGTGAATAAAATTATTAACGTGTAAAGGTAGTTATTGTAAACTAAATTTAGTAACAAAACTGTAATGAGAAGTTCTAATATTACACTTGCACTTAATTTAGTTATAAATTTAGAGCAGAGAATGAAGTTGACAGGCTTTTTGGTAGGTGGAGAGGTGGTAAACGTCTAGTATGATTACTTATTTTAATAATGGATGATGAAGATTTGTTACTAACAGCTACGGCAATTTATTTATATAAATTTGTACAGAAGAAACAAAAGAAAAAGCGGAATCGAAAGTTGTGGTGTCGCTCATGGCTACAAAGACGGGAGGAAGGTAGAGGAATCTTGCACATGTTAAATTCCGAATTAAAAGTTGAAGACACAGAGAATTATCAAAATTTTCTTAGATTGTGTGCAGATCAAGTGGATTTTTTGATTAGTCTCATTGAAATTGACCTAAGAAAAGAAGATACTTTTATGAGGGATGCGATTCATGTACGCAGCAAGTAAGAAGTGAGTTATATTGTCTTTTGATATAATTTTACATTAAGTTATTATTACAGAGTAGAAGTTACCCTCCGCTTTTTGGCGACTGGAGAGTCTTTTCGATCTCTAATGTACAGCAGCAGAATACATGAAAGCACAATTTCTTTATTTATACCAGTGGTTTGTGATGCCATTATTAAAAACCTAGGCCCATCATTCCTTAAAGTTAGTATATATTTGTACATATAAGACTTGATATGAAAAATAGGTATATTTTTTGTTTTATAAATTAAAAATTATATTTTGTAGGTACCTACTACTATAGAGGAATGGGAACAAGTAGCTAAAGATTGTGAAAATATCTGGCAATTTCCTAACTGTTTGGGTGCCCTTGATGGCAGGCACATAACATTTAGATCTCCAATAGCAGATGGGTCATATTTTTTTAATTATAAAGGCAGACATAGTATTGTTTTGTTAGGTTTAGGAGATGCTAATTACAAATTCTTGTATGTCAATATTGGCATAAATGGAAGAATTAGTGATGGAGGTGTTTTTAATGCAAGCAAATTGTCAAATGCATTAAGGACAAATTATTTGAATTTTCCTGAGGAAAAATGTTTGCCAGGTCGACAGAAAAAAGTACCATATGTCATAATTGCTGATGATGCATTTCCTCTGCTTCCTAATTTGCTGAAGCCATTTCCTCAAAGAGGCCTCGATCATGATAAAACAATCTTTAATTACAGACTATCAAGAGCCCGTAGAATGATTGAAAGCATGTTTGGGATTTTAGTAAACAGGTTTAGGATTTTATTGAATCCTATAAATCTTGCAGCACACAAAGTGGAAAAAATTACCCTAACTTGTGTTATATTGCATAACTATTTATGCACGATAAACGGTAAATCTTATACCTACCCAAAATAAAAATGAAGTTCCATGTACCTTAGAAAAAGCACTAAATCAATTTGGAAACAAATCCTCAAAAATTGCAAGGGCAACTAGAGAAGAATATAAAAAATATTTTAATTCAGCAATTGGACAAGTTGACTGGCAAGAAGAGTCGATAAATAAACATAATTTGTAAGGGGTTAAATTAAAACTAAATATTAAAAACAAAATCCTACTCTTATTTATTTAATCCTTTACAATCTATTAAAAAAAAAAACTATTATACTTAAACATTACCTACAAAGATTAGCATATTTAAAAAGTTTGAAAACAATTTTTACGTATCCTACATTTTTTAATTGCATTATATAATATGCTGTTAATTTCTTCCTCGGTTTCTAACAAAATATCTTCATCTGTTATTTGATCCAGTTTATTAACAACAAACTGTGCATATTCATTGTTTTCACTTTTTTTTCTGGCCTGTTTTTATTTTTTTAAATAGAGGCAATATTTTGCATTGCATCTGTTGCTGCATCTATTTCAATTTTCTTTCTTTTTCGTGGTACTTGAGTAGTCTTAGGAGTTTGCATTTTAGTTGATGTACTTGGTTTTGAAGATGCATCAGTTCGTTCGGAGCTGTACGATTCTATTTGACTATCATTTTCATACTCAATAATTATATCAGAGTGAGCTGAAAACTGACTGAACATATTTTCTTCCTCCTCACATATCTCTCCATGTAAAACATCACTCTCTACTTGATCCGAAATTGAATCCATAGATTTCCTTGGTTTGGTATAATCCAATAAAAAACTTAATTTATTGTAATACCAAATGGATGGAGTATAAATCTGAAATATAAATTTAAATTGTCAATGTTTATGAATAAGACTGCGAAAATACTGAGTGCAATAAATGAAAGTTCACTACTAAATAACTTACATCATCGGTGCCTGCTCCACTTGTCTGAGATTGTTGGATTTTTTTATGTTCCGTAGAAAAATTTGTTTTCAATCCATTTCATTTGCTTTTTATTTCTGGAATTGTTATGCCTGGCCTTACAGTAGATAATGCTTCTTTTATAATTTCTAATGCAGCATTTCGTGCATGTTTGTTGTGATACAACTTTAAATGCACATTGTATAGACACGGATGTTCAAATAGGCATCAATTAATTCTTCCACTTGTTGTCTTGACCAAGGCATTTTCAAGGAAGATACTTACTAAAAGAAGTTAAAACAATTTAAATAATCACACTCCAACTACAGTGGGAACAAAACCAAAACAGAAATCTTTATGCAGAAAACAGAATCACGCCCAAAACTTAAAACATAACCCCTAATAATAAATTGTCACTTGTGCGCATATTTACGAGTTGATTTGTGATGGAAAATAGAACATATCCTAAAAATTTGGTTCATAATTTATAACATAATTTAGGTTGCAAATTTATATGTTTTACACGCTTCTAAATAACATCCTAAATTTATAATTAAATTTGTAATTAAATTAAGTTATAAATTAAGCATAATGTAAAGTGGACCTTACAAAAAAAAAATAGAAACCAACAATTCTTGCCACCCTAGAGTGCAATTTTCCATCAAAACTGAAACCAACAACTTATTGAACTTCCTAGACTTAACCATACACAACAAAACAAATACACTAAAAACGTCAGGTCAGGATTGTATTTAAACTTTTTATCAAAACATTATATATCTCAAAAAAAATATCAGTTATCTTAGGCCTGGCAAAAAGAGCTATCAAACTATCCAACCTGGATACAGAACCACGTCAATTCAAACAGTTAAAAATACACTAATCCAAAACCCTCAAAAACTCAACAATACTGTAATACAAAAACGTATTCACAAATACTATAACAATCATAAATAATATAGTAAAGAAAAAACGAAAGACATATCCGTCAGTGGATTATCTGGAAAATTTCAACATATAGTCAAACATTTTTAACCGACTTCAAAAAAGGAGGAGGTTATCAATTCGTCGCGATTTTTTTTTTATGTATGTTCAGCGATTATTCTTTAACACGGTGTCCGATTTCAATGATTCTTTTTTTGTTAGAAAGGGGGTACTTTAGGGGTGGTCCCATATAAATTTAGTTAAAATCTAATAATTGGGTCCATGAGAAAATCCTCAAACTTTTCATTTTTTATATATGTTTAGCGATAATGCTTTACCACCTTGTCCGATTTATATGATTCTTAGAAAGGGGGTACTTTAGGGGTGGTCCCATATAAATTTAGTCAAAATCTAATAATTGGGTCCATGAGAAAATCCTCAAACTCTTCATTTTTTAGGTATGTGTAGCGATAATGCTTTACCACCTTGTCCGATTTATATGATTCTTTTTTTGTTAGTAAGGGGTACCTCAGGAGTGGTCCCATATAAATTTGGTTAAGATGTGATGATGGCGTCTGCACGTTTTTGAAGTCGGTTTTTTTAAATTTTTAATTTCTAATACTTGTAACATAGATATTGGACATAAAAATACAACAACACTATCACATAACTTTACAAAACTAAAAAAAAAATCCCACAAAACAAACGTACCCACACAATCTGTCAAATTCTATGTAATGGAGAAAATTGCAATAACACATAATAGGTCAATCAAAACAATACTTAGACAGGATACGAACCCTCAAAAATACAAAAATGCTTTAACAGCTTTAGAGAAACGCATACTTGAGACAGGACATGACTTTAGTTATAACAATGTAACGATACTAGGAACAGAACAAAATAAAAAAAAAAACGTAAATGGTCTACATAAAAAAAATGTTAATGCCATCAATGGTCGAGGTGAAATTAAATACCTAAATTAAATCTACTTTAACCTATTAAAAACGTTATTTGATTAATCGATTATTTTTGATTATTCGATTATTTAAGATTTTTTAAAGATTATCGAATAATCTGTTTTAATGGAAATACGACAAAAAAAATAGGATATTTAAAAATAATCGATTATATAAAATAAACGATAATTCGTTTATTATTTTTTGTAAACAATGATTTATCGGTTAATTGGCTTTTTAATTAATCTATTATTTTTGATTATTTAAAGATAATCAAGTAGTCAAGTTTAAAGGAAATACGAACAAAAATAGATTGTTTGAAAATAATCGATTGATCGAAAATAATGAATTATTATTAATGATCAATAATTTATTTCGATAATCACCCACTCCTAGCGACTAAATGACTTTTAATAGGTTTAAATTTTAAAATGTTATCTGGGTTCAGACATATGCATAGAGTTTTATGTGACTCATCCTCTATATTAATTAATATTCCTAAAGAAACAAGCTTTAATATATCTTTTTCTGGGGTTATAATACAAAACAGCATTTTCTAATTTTGACTAATTTTTAATATTATTTGATAGTCGTAGAAAAAATATAATGTTCAACTCACAAGGTTTGATTTGCAGTATTCGCCTGCGCACATGCTTTTTTTATAATACTCTTAGACAATGAGTACCATTTCTTACACGATTAACAATATTCTATTTCAACATTTTACTGTAGTCTATTACAGAAAAGTCCGTAGTAAATAATAGCTAACGAAATATTCTATAAAAGGTCTTCTCTTTACATAAAATGTCGTGGCATCTGTTTGATATTAAAAAATCACGTTAAATTTATTTCATAATACAAAATTCCATTAAACGTATATTTTAAATAAATCTAATAGTTCATTATGATGCTAATAAACAAAGTCCGGTCCCTGTCAAAGAGTTCGGGTCCCTGCCCAGTTCCCCCACTCCGGTAACCTTACTTTAGAAATTGGCAACATTTGCGCAGGTTAAACACCGGTGTATGTTATATCTCTGGTCTCTCTTATCTAAGGAAAATATAGAAATAAGGATAAATTTGCCATAGGTCGAACAGGCTTTTTCTAGGCCATTTTAGACCATTTCTTGTTACATAAAATGCTAAATTAAAAAAAAATTTAAATAATTTACCTAACCTATACGGCCTAGAGACATTGGGAATACCTCGCAAAAAAATTAAACACAAAATGATAAAAAAAAACAAATTAATGTACCTAGCCTGTGAGGCCAGGGGCCATCGCGGATTATTTCTTCAAAAAAGTATACATAAACTGAAATCTATTTTGCTAACCTGTGTGACCTGGGGCTATCGCGGGTTGTTTCGCTAAAAAAATATACATTAAATGAGAAATTTTGTAAAAACTTAACTAATTTACCAAACCTGCAGCCATCGCAGGTTGTTTCGCAAAAATTATACATAAAATAGGAAAAATAAAAAAAAACTAATTTACCTAACTTGTGGGGCTTTAAGAAATTACGGATTTATTCGTAAAGAAATATATATAATATAATATATAAAAAATAAATAAAAACTAATTTACCTATTATTCATGACCCCCATAAGTTGTATGTGCAGTGTCTTATATTCTATCTAAGATTGTTAGATTTTACATTTAATTTTTAGTTCAATCTGTTGCCAGATGTGATACTGTTCAGTTGAAAAGAGTAATTATTTATAGTTTTTGAAAAGAAAAGTTATTTAAAAAAAGGAACTTCGAATTATTAGAAGATTATTCACTTCTTTATGGTTAGTACACCCGTAATAAATGGATAATATCTTTTTTAAAAGATTAAGAATAATTAATGAATAAAATGTTTTTCTTAGAACGTTCAGTAAGATTTTACTTTACGGCAAACTTAAACACTAGCTCCCTGATATGCTGCTTATATTTCAAAAAGAAAAATATTTCTATATTCCAGATAAAATTAAATTCACAGTTTCATAAGGCAAATTTGCTTTGGAGCACTCGATCCCTGTTTTTTATACTTCTATATTTGCTTTGGTTTAATGAAAATGAAAGAGTTAACATACATTTTGCGTTATTATTAAACAACCGCAGAAAAACCACTAACGACTTTATAAAGTGCTCAAGAGCATATAATTTTACGAGTTCATTACAGTAAAATTATTACATTTTTGCTGAAATTGCTTTCATAACCTAATTTTCTGCTGAAAAAAAAAAGCCATTAAGCGGTTTTATTTTCAGCTGTTAAGCAACTGTTTACTTTCATATAGTTAGTATTACTGAAAAGGATCTAGCTGTTAACAAAAAGGTAATTAGAACAGAGTAAAAACTGTTTTTGTTTTAATACAAAATGTAGCCAGAAGTAAAGTTAACTTTATAGAACCACATATAAAATGGCCAATTCAAACAAATATGGCAATACCAGCATGTATAAAAATACTTTAATTTTTACATTTTTTTTCAAGTAGAAGAATACCAGCTATTTACGGAATAGAGATATAACTTTATATTTATTCAACCAACTATGTTATGTTAAGTTGGGAATCTGGTATTAATACACTGCAACCTAAAAGATCTGTTGTATCCCCTTCTGTCGCTATTGCAGCAAGGAAATGTCTTAATGCCTATAACGACCCTTTCAATCCTATCTTCTCAAGGAACTGTAGGATTTGGAGTGGCTTCAAGTTAGGTAAATCTCCCTACTCTATTTGATATGCTCCTAGGAATAGTGCCCTTGGATTCTGGAGTGCTACACATTCAGTTAGAATGTGAATGGAGGTTTCGTCCTCCTCCTCACAGAATCTGCACTCACTATCTTCTACTACTCTTAGTTTACTAAGGTGCCCTTTTAGTCGACAATGCCCAGTAAGGATCCATGTTACAATACGTAGCCAGTTCTTGCTCAGACAGATACGGGCTTCCAATATTTTCTGGTTATATTCACCCAGAAGTATCTTAGCTTGTCTTAGCCCCAAGAGATTGTTCCAATTATCAATTCTTCTACTGCCCAATTCTTTTTTAATCT